TATTTATTTTACTAACTAATATACTCTTTTTATATAAAAAAAGTATACAAAGTGCAGCATACTGTGTACACAATCTACTTATAATTTGAAATTAAAGATTTCAATTTCAAATTATAATAACTTTCCTATGTGATATCTCTATTTGCATATATATATATATATATATATATATATATGTATATATATATATATATATACATATATATATATATATATATATATATATATATATATATATATATATATATATATATATATATATATATATATATATATATATATATATATACATATATATATATATATATATATATATATATATATATATATATATATATATATACATATGTCTTAAATCTTCTATTAACTGTTAACTCTTAAGTCTTCTATCAACTTTTCTTCCACTCTAACTTTTCAGGCAAGGTTACAACAATGCTTGCGTGGTTCTTATAAAGTGTGAGCAAAGTAATAAAAAAGTTTTAATTTAAAGACTTAATGACTGACAAATTAGTTCACCTAGTTTGTTTGATTTGTAATAAATTGCTTGCCACACAAGGAATTTGGATGCAAATTTTTCTCATCTAATATATTTAAATTGATCATCAACAGGTTTATCTTTGTTTTCATTGTAAAACTGTTGACCAGGAAGTTGTGAAAAATCCGCCTTGCAAAATGTTTCCTAGTCTTCTATTATGCACATATTTTTATCCGCCATTATTTTAACAACTTCTTTGCACATCGAATTCTTTTAATTTCACAATTTAAGCTTCTCTTAAGTGTATTTTTTTTATGAAATGATTTAATTCCAGCATTTAAGTACTTTTTTGATATAAGAGCGAGAAGTTTTGAATTTTCTTGCTAGATCTCGCTGTGACTGGTTTGGATTTCTTGCTATTGATCGTAAAATCAACTTTACCTTTTTGGATTTATGAAAAGTTTTTTTTCTTCCACTTCTAAGTTTTCTTTCGAAGCTTTGAGTATTCTTGCACTTGTTTATAATATCTAAGACTAATATCTATAGATTTTGGGACACTTGTGCGTTAAGCAATAGGAAAGTTGATGGATTTTTGCAAAAAAATTCCAAAAATTTTTTTATGCACCTCAATTTGTTTCTAAATAATTTTGCAAATCATTAATTTGTAAACAAAAATTTAGCAACACCATTTAAGATAAGGAAGTAAGGTTTAATTAAAAAAAATTTAATAAAAAGCATTTTTGGGTTTAAAGAAATCTCAATTTTAAGTTGACCGGATTTTTCAGTGTCCACCCAATAGTTTATACTATTCATTGATTTTTCTTTAATAGGTTTATCTTATCACTATTAAGCTAAATTAGCAGAGTAAGTGCAAGTATATATGCAAGTATATATACTTTTTTCATCTAGCATAGGTATATTTTTCAACAAGTAAAATTATTAGTTTTGCGACAATGGTTTAATAGTAATGTGTAAAAAATCTGGTCCACAGTTCAATAAAATTAGAAAAGATATTATAAAATTTTTTAAAAAAATCGGCTATTAAATTGAAATAAACATAAATTTAAAAATTATAAGTTATAGTTGTAATTGTAAACAAAAAAAAAATTGTCCAATGTGTGGAAATTGTTTATCAAAAAATGTGGTATATAAACGTGTTGTTTCCTCTAAGAATATACCTGATAAGCAATATATTGGCATATCAGGGGATGAATCGAAAAAACGTTTTGCCAATCATAAGCAATCTTTTAAAAATATAAAGTATTCAAAAGACACCATGCTGTCAAAAATATATGGGAATTAAAAGATAAAAATATTGATGACTTTATACTGTCCATCCTTAATTGGTCCATCCTTAAAACAGCGCCTACATATAACAATATTTCCAAAAAATGCATACTATGTCTACAAGAAAAATTTGAAATATATACACATGCAAACCAAGAATGTTTATTAAACAAAATATTGGAATTGATATCTAAATGCTGGCACAAAAATAAGTTTCTCCTAAAAAACTATAAAAATAAGTGAGCTCAAATAATAGTTACATTAAATCCCCCTTTAAAAAATATTTTTTTAAAAAAAGCATAAGTAATCATTTCTAAAGATTTCTTCTTATAATACATATATATATATATATATATATATATATATATATATATATATATATATATATATATATATATATATATATATATATATATATATATATATATATATATATATATATATGTATATATATATTATATATATATATATATATATAAATATATATATATATATATATATATATATATATATATATATATATATATAATATATATATATATATATATATATATATATATATATATATATATATATATATATATATATATATATATATATATATATATATATATATATATATAAATTACAAATTAGTAGAAAATCTTTTGCAAAACATGCAAAATTAATAAAAATTAGTTTGTTGTATAGTTAATAATATTTATTAAAGGTACTGAACTCTTACAATTTTGTATTTACTTACTATTCTTATTTATTTTACTAACTACTATACTCTTTTTATATAAAAAAAGTATACATAGTGCAGCATACTGTGCACACAATCTGCTGATAATTTGAAATTAAAGATTTCAATTTCAAATTATAATAACTTTCCTATGTGATATCCCTATTTGCATATATATATATATATATATATATATATATATATATATATATATATATATATATATATATATATATATATATATATATATATATATATAAATTTTTTATTAATTTTGCATGTTTTGCAAAAGATTTTCTACTAATTTGTAATTTATATATATATATATATATATATATATATATATATATATATATATATATATATATATATATATATATATATATATATATATATATATATATATAAATTACAAATTAATAGAAAATCTTTTGCAAAACATGCAAAATTAATAAAAATTAGTTTGTTGTATAGTTAATAATATTTATTAAAGGTACTGAACTCTTACAGTTTTGTATTTACTTACTATTCTTATTTATTTTACTAACTACTATACTCTTTTTATATAAAAAAAGTATATATAGTGCAGCATACTGTGTACACAATCTGCTGATAATTTGAAATTAAAGATTTCAATTTCAAATTATAATAACTTTTCTATGTGATATCTCTATTTGCATATATACTTACACTTATTATGCTAATTTAGCTTAGTAGTGATAAGATGAACCTATTAAAGCAAATTCAATGAATAGTATAAACTATATAATAAATAAATCATAGTAATTTAAATAATCAGTGTTGATAAATTACATCAAGTAGGGACATAATACAATCTAAATATAATTATGAATATTTATAAAAAAAAATACATTTAAACATGACATTAAACCTGCTGCTATTTTTTGATTTTGTGGCTTTTAAGTATCAAGAAGTCCTTACATTCTTATAACAAAGCATTGCAAAAGAGTATTACATATTTAAAAAATACCATTGTTGCAAATAAAGCCAGAGCTGGCATCGAATCACATACCTGATGATTCTTAAGCACCAGCTCTAACCACTGCACCACAGCTGCTAAAGCATGTGTATTGGTTCTTTTATATGAGTATACTTAAATTTGATGTTAAACTAAAAAATATTGCTCCTAAAATTAATTAAACAAGTTTAGAATGTTTTTGGACTCCTTTACCCTGGGACTATGATGACACTCTATGGATTTAATTGACAGTTGTTAACCACTTGATTATTTTAGACCATTTATAAAAATTTTTAGCTGCTAATAGACATGGCACTTAAGTCTGAACTCGTTGATAGCCATAATACTAATCTGCAAAATTTTACTACCTTATTATCCTAACAAGAGCCTCACTAATTTTGGCCAAGGTAAAAAAGAGTTAATTTTAAGATTGATTGCTCCTGCAAGTCTATTCTATGTATTACTAATTTTGGACATTTCATCCAAAAATTTGTTTGAATGTTAAAGTGGTAAATCATCAGTGCATAGGGTAATGTCTTTAGGCCTATCAAAAAATATGCAGATTAAAAATTTGTTAGGCATTAGTTATTAAACTAAATAGCAATTGTATTTATAACCTTTTCACTTGTCTTTCGATTTTTTTTGTAATCATTTAACAATTTAATTTTGTTTTTATGTATAAGCCCTCCACCAGACAATGCTGCAGTACTTATCTGCATGTTTGGAATTCCCTTAGACCAATCCCATATCTAATACTTATAAATTAAATGTTAGAAATACCTAGATTGTTTTTAGAATTTCAGGACTTTGTTTTTCAACAGAAACAATATTAATTTTATCAGAGCAGTGTTCTTTACAATTTTTATGTTCACTATTTTGCTTGTTTTTCTGTTATTTTTCTTCTTTTTTATTTTTTATTTTTATTGTGTATAACATCTTTGACTTCACAAAATCTGAAGCATTAAGTTGATATGAGCTAACTTACTTTATAAACTAACAATCTCATTGGTTATAAACTTCTTCCTAGAACAGGTACAGTTAATGTGAGCACCTTCTTTACAATCATGTGAGCAGTACTGTGGTAGCAGTTACAAGTCTAACAAGTTAGGTGAACTAATTTGTCAGTCATTAAGTCTTTAAATAACATGTGAATAAACTTAAAATAATATCTTAGATAGATTATATTTAAAAACATATTACAGTTTCGAAAATTATTCAAAACTTTTTTTCTGAAATTATTTAATTTTTTTCTAATGTTTTTCTTAAATTAAAGAAACAGAAGTTGAACCTTGGTTTTTGAATTCCAAATGGGGCACCAGTAAATTTCTTTTCTTCCATCGGTTTGTACTTATTTAAACGTATTGATTATCGTATTAATAAAATGTTTCAGCACTTCATATTAATTTTTAAATTATTGTTCCACATTTTTTCATAAATTTTCTATTTTTTCAATTGAAAAATCCATTTTATGAGCATTTTAGTTGCTATGGATATCGACTTGACTGCGGAACTTTGCGGCCATTTTAAAAAAATTCACAACATAGATCGCTTATTTTCAGCAAAGAGATATATTAGCTATTTTCATTATATTTAAAGAGATATAATAGCTTCTTTATTTTCATTAAGGGCTGTCAAATATAAAAAAAAAGTCATTTGGATTGCAGGAATGTTACCAGAGGCGATTCTACAAGGGATATGGTGGTGTCATATACAAAAAATGTACTTAAAAGAGCCTGAACTCTATTATATATATAAATTTTTATATTATTTTATTTTAATTTCACGCGATATTTTGCTATACAACGTTCTTATATTCGCAGGTAACTTTGCCTTAACGCCCAAACAAACCCAAAGCATCGTACCATATTGACCAACACTTTTTGCGTACCGGAATTATTCTTGCGCAGAGTTGGTTGAGTACCAAAGTATTATTCAAGTGTTGTGTAGAAGTACTACCCAATTGCTTGAGTACTAAAATACTACTCAAATATTGAGTTGCAGAGATCGAATTTAAACTCAAAATTGAGTTTTGTTTCAATTGAAATTCATTCAAATTGGAGCTGCCATCCCAATTTAAATGATATTGCAGTTTTTGCAAATTGTAAAGATTGTCAACATTTTGTTATTCTTTATTAACAAACAAGAAAAAAATATTAGAACTCACACCGGATTCCATAGCACTTCATGAACTTTTATGATTAGTATTGCATATTTAGTTTAATTTCTTATAAAAATGTCCAGGGTTGGGGTTTTCTTTAAAACCTATGCATTTTTAAAAAAAATCAATACTCAGCTAACTATTACTACGTCGGTATATAAGGGACATGCACAAGGTCTTGTTTGTTCATTACATCAAAATATCATTTTGATGTAATGAACAAATGCGTAATAGTTAAAATAATAAGTCTTTGTGTAATAGTTTAAATAAAAAATGTTAATTACTCGTTAATAATTGATTTATTAAATTTGTGTGGTATGTCAACCAATAGAGAATTTATAATACCAAACAGTGGTATAAATAACTTCATACTGCCAAAAATGGACATAGTGCATTTCCCTTGTATACCGACGACTATTTGCCATAAACACCAGTTAAAATATTATTGGTTTCACCGTTACGGATGCTACTATTATATAATAATAAGTTTCCGTAAGGAATGTGAAACTATTGATAAAAGCATACGGTATTTGACTTTAAAACCTCAAAAACACGTGTTAAACTCGATCAAAACTGCCCGTAATATACACGTATTTTTGGTTACGCCTGGGTCGTGAACAACACGTGTCTATTATACAGGATTTAATTCCGAAAAAGAAACTAAATGTGCCGCTTGGGTAATTCTAAGCACTTGCCATTTGCTTTCAAATTTATAGTTACAAGCCCATTTAGTGATTGGCGCCCAGGTATTATCAATCATACCAGGCATATTACAGGTTCATTTTTCACTAGGTCTGATTTCCAGACCTAGTGAAAAAGTCTATTTCTGGTCTGGAATGCAGCCATTTCCAGTAAAAAAGCGCACATAAAAATACGCGTAGTTTTGTCTTATGAAAGCCATGTGAAAATTATTATTTTGTCCCGCGTGGGTTTCATAAGATAAATCCAACATGGATATATAGGATATAGTTGGAAATATGTTATAGATCTTAAATTTTGCATATTTTTAATCCAAAGAGAATAAAATTTTTCTATTTTGGATTAATGTGAATATATGTGGCATTTTGGATTAATGTGAATATATGTGCCATTTTGGATTAATGTGAATATATGTCGCATTTTGGATTAATGTGAATATATGTGGCGTTTTGGATTAATGTGAATATATGTGGCATTTTGGATTAATGTGAATATATGTAGCCTTTTGAATTAATGTGAATATATGTGGCATTTTGGATCAATGTGAATATATGTGGTATTTTGGAATAATGTGAATATATTTGGCATTTTGGATCAATGTGAATATATGTGGCATTTTGGATTAATGTGAATATATGTAGCATTTTGGATTAATGTGAACATATGTGGCATTTTGGATTAATGTGAATATATGTAGCATTTTGGATTAATGTGAATATATGTGGCATATTGGATTAATGTGAATATATGTGGCATTTTGGATTAATGTGAATATATGTAGCATTTTGGATTAATGTGAATATATGTGCCATTTTGGAATAATGTGAATATATGTGGCATTTTTGATTAATGGGAATATATGTGGCATTTTGGATTAATGTGAATATATGTGCCATTTTGGATTAATGTGAATATATGTGCCATTTTGAATTAATGTGAATATATTATTTAAGATCTTGAAAAATTATAAAGCAATTTTCCAAAAAATTTAAAAAATATTAATAAAAATTAATAAATGCAATACCGATAATGTAGTGTTTTTTGCTAAAATATTGTTTTAGCAGATAAATGATTATTATTTATCTGCAAAATAATAATCATTTATTATTTTGCTATTTACGTTGCAAAATAATAAATAAGTTGTATTTTTCATCTCGAGCTTATAAAGTAAATCGCCTTAACTCGTTCAATACCAAAATTTAAAGTATCTTCTAGTGTTCTTCAAATATTTCCTGAAAATAATATATAAATCTTAGTGGATATAGCTCTGCATAATAACTTTAATCAACCTGAATTTAAAATAAGTTTTCTACAATTTTAACTTTTGCTAACAATAGATCAAAACAACTTAAAACTAATCTTAATGACTTCAAATTGAAATATAACTTGTTCAATGCTAAATAATCTAACTTCTCAGTTGAATTCTCAGTTGAGAATAGTTTAATCACATTAGTTTAACTTTTATAAATATAAAAAGAAATTATAAAAAATGTTATTATAGATTGAGATAATATGATTATAAACAACATTATATCTTTAGTATATTCTTTTTTTTGATAAAGACTTTTATAAATTAAACAAACTACAAATAAAATTGAGCTTTCTAGTTTTTGAAAATACAAAACTATCAATAATCTTTTTGACATTTATGATGCAATCTCTATGGATATGCATCATAGCTAAGCCATTTAACCGTTTGTGTCCTATATTGTATCTTAACTAAGTTTTAAGTCTTTTTAAAACCGAGAAACTCCGTTCTCCCGAAGCAACGCTAACAGGAAGGGTGCAAAGCAGTTGCAAAATACATTTAATTAATGGGAATGCATTACCATCACATTGCTTGTATGCTTCCAGTGCACATTCAGGCAGAGCCGCCCCAAAGAGATTTTAAAGAAGGGGTGCCATTTCTGTTTTTAGCCGACTAAAGCCAAAAAAAAATTTTTTGCCCACTAACTTATCTCAAAAAAAAAAATAAAAAAAAGGTCCTCGTTTTCTGATATTTGCCTACTGCCAACAATAATTCCAATTTTGCAGACTCTAGTCTCCAATTTGCCGAGTAAGCGTCCAATTTCCCGACTAATAAAATTCGTAGGGGGGCTAGACACCCCCCTCGCGACGGTCCTGCATTCAGGTATGTCTTGTTGCTTTTTGGTTGCGTCTTTTATTATTCATTTTAGCTTCCAAAATTCAAATTATGAAAAAACTTTCATTATTGGGCATTTTTATCAACAGTATTTATGTTTGGCAACCCTTTCATAAAACTCAGTATATTAGTTATGGATGCTGTTGACTCTGTAAATCTAGAAGTATGCTATCAAATAAGGTAAATAAACATTGACTCTATAGTAAGTTAGAGGATCATTAGTATTGAGGTTTGCTTGATTAGTTTGTTTTCCTGTAATTCGTGGAATCTTGATTTTTAAACCTAAGTCTTCTAGTAACTTTGATGCAGTCATAAATATAGCATTAAAGCTTTCTTCATTCTGTCGTCTTTTATTTAATATCTTTATGGTATGTTTAAGAATGGTTTTTGCATTTCCCTTATCCAATAATTTTTTTTGAAGAGCCTCACTTAAAGAGATTGTGGTATTCAACATGTTGGCTTATGAACAAAGTGTTATTACAAATAAGGGCTCAGATATTGCATTGCATAGTAATGTGGCCTTTGTTGAAGAATCCCGTTCATTCCACTGAGATATCAAATCAAGTGTCTCTACTATATTTATTAAACAAGATTTAAAAATTAACACAAAATCACATCGTTCAATCCATCTTGTTTTGCATATGCTTGTAAGCATTCCCATATTTATATATTTAAAAATATATATTTCCCATATTTATATATTTACTTCGCTTCAACGAACCTTTAAAAAATGATATTACTTCTTTCATTGTACCAATTGTATTTTTTTATAGCTCGTATAGACGAACATTTGAAAATTAATAAGTTTAAAGCATGGTTGTAACATGGACTTTTTATTGCGTTTGATAGGATCTTCTGTGATTTTTTGAATGCTCCGTTGTTTTCACCTAGCATAAGGCTGCATCCATCAGCACTTATACCAACATTTTAAATCGAAGCCAAATTTTGTCAATGTGTTTGCAACTGTGTTTGCTACCAATTAATCTTGCTAATACAGGTTCATAAGTAAAATTAGAGCAATTTTCAGTGATGCAGTTTACAAAACCAAAAAAATCTTCCCAGATTTCACAGGTATTAACATCAATGTATCTTAATACAACTGTCATTTGAGAACTATGATTAGTATCCGTTGTTTCATCAAATATAACGCTATAAAATTTTCCTTCAAAAATTCTTGTTTTTATTAAGTCCTGAGTTTGTTGAGCGCAAAATTAATAAATTCATATTCGGAGCGCAAAATTAATAAAAGCAATATTCGGTCGACCAAAAAATATCATAGACTCAATTATAGGCTTTAATCGTTCTCAATTTTCTTTAGCCTGTTTAAGTCTTCCTTCGTTAACTAAATTACATACATCTGTAGACGGACATTCATAAGTTCTAATGAAGCCTGATGCTGCCAACATAGCAACTTTGTGATACGCATTGCAACCATGTAATTGTAAGTCTCCATTCTTATCCAAAAGCTTTGAATAACTTTTAAGAGGTAAAGTAACTAGCTTGAGTAATTGCACTTGACCATGTATTCCCCAACT